ATTCGACGCTTTATATTTCTATATTATCCTTACATTTTTTTTCCATCCGAATAAGCCCATTTTTGTCCGTATTTTTTCAAGGTTTTCTCGTTTACATATTAATTTTCCAGGCCAGTGCGTACGTTGTACTTTCCAGATCGAGCGTATTTGCGCACTTCCATTTCCTGTTTTGCAAAGAGCCTTCAATTGAAGCGCGGATTTTCCCTCCGATCTATATTATATCCTTTATTATTCCGGATCGCAGCGGTGACGCGCGAGTTAGAGAGACAGCGAGAGAGGGAGGGAGGGGGTTGAACAAGTGCGGGGATGGATTTCGCAGCCTGTATATTACAGGCCCACATCCCGTCATATTACGCGGCACGGCAAAAAGACGTTATACGAAAAATTCCTTTCCTTCATATGTTCGCATATTCCGCATTGTGCGTGAGTCACATACTGGGGGGTAACAGGTGTGAAAAGTTCATAAAACCGGGAAATATATGCGGGATATACATACATGGACGAACACGAGTGTTTCGTCTCCTAATGAAACGTCAATAAGGAACGGCGTCCGCGAACTAGCGCGCCGGGATCTGCCTTTATTATCTGCCCGAAGAGAAAGCTTGCAATTATAAATTCTGATTAATTCGCCTTTTTATCGCTTCATCAAACATTTATGATGGATGAAGTTTTTGAGCGAGTCCACGGACGTTATAAATCATGCAGTATCGGAGTATATCGCTCAGTTGATGCATAGCGCGTGCGTATTTTAGTCGATATTTGCTCCTGCGTCAGAAAAAGATAGTAACAAAAAAAATGAAGCAATACGCGTATATTTATTTCACAGAAATAACAGTTAACAGAAATTTATTTGCATGTGCGTGTAATAATAATTACAAATTATTACACGAAAGTGAATGTATAACTTATCACATTCTCAACACATTCTCAACCCTAGTAAACCTTACGAAATCTCCGAAAATGTAATTTTAAACATAATTATTCTTTAAACATAATTATTCTTAGCATTCTATAGTCCGAAGCTTAAGCTTCATTAATTCCTATTGCTCTATCTTTGATTAACGAATTAATCGTATGCAAACTGTAAAAGCCGCACAAAAGATGGATGTTCAAATAGTGGTACCAAGCCGCAATAGCGTTTCTCTCGTTGCGAGAGGAGAAACAGGATCGAAAGTGGGTCGGGTCACCGATGGGCGAGGGCGATGATGAACGAGAGGGTCAGGATGCGCGGGAGGAAGAACGGGCGGGAGAAGTAATGCGATTCTCGCGTGAGAATCGAGCGAGGGTGCCAAGGACGCGCGCGGGAAGATCGTGACGGAGGAGAAGGAGACCAAGAAGATCTCGTTGGTCTTGGTCCCGATTTTCCCGTGAGAGGACGAGAGTTTCGAGACATTCCTCCCCGTCTCTCTCTCTCTCTCTCTCTCTCTCTCTCTCTACACACACACACACACACACACACACACACACACACACACACACACACACACACACACACCTTGCGGGTCGGCGATTTGTCAGGCGAGCGAATACACGAGGAGAGATAACGACGAAGTTTCGCAGACGCTCCGGACGGCCGCGGACTCTCTCGCGATTGACAAATGCGCGACTGTCGCTGGTGCGCTTTCGGGAAACGGCGCGTTTTGTATGCGTACAAATGGCGATCACGACATACAGGAATACACGTGTATGATAAGCGCCCCCATCGGGGAACGGGATGATCCGGATGCCGCGGTTCCGCCGACGGTCTCGGAGGAACGTGACGAATGAGTCTAGCAAATAAGCAATGTTTGCATTTTTTATCGCAAAGGTGATATCTTTTTAATTAAGTGATACAAATATCTGAGACATCCTATCATGACAAATTATGCGATTTTTTGCTTTTTTTTGATGGAAGTTTGTAACTTTTTAAAAATCGATATAGCCGAAAAATTTACAGAGAAATTTGTGATATTATATAAATAATAAAAAGATATCTAAATATTTATAACGTTGTTATAAATGATTTAAAATATTCTTATACGTAAATTTTATAATTATCACAATTTATATAAGGCGAATGAATTGTTATTAAGTGGAAAAATATGCGTATTACATGCATCGGGAAATAACATGTGCAATAATATGCGACGGTACATTATTCATTGATATACAATATATATATATATATATATATATATATATATATATATATATATATAT